AGCGAGTTAACATCGATTCTTTCTCATCTGATTTTACGTGTTTATTATTACAATTGTATATACGTATATTTATATATATATGTATATATATATAAATATAATAATTATGCAGAGAAAAAGAATCCAGAAAAAAAGGAAATCAATGATTTTTTTTCTTAGCGCGATTAATTATTTTCCAAGAACCAACAATTAATGGTCGTTCTAGTTCCTTGAACTTGAATGAATGAAAGAAAGAAAGAACAAAAATTAATAAAGAAAAGAAAAAGAGTAATAAATATTTTCTATTAAACGATGTTTTTCAATAAAACAAATCCTTCAATACGAGTGTGTGGCTACTCTATCTATGCAAAAATGAAAAAAAAAAACAACAACAATAAAATCGAGGACGATAACGATTTCGGTGAGAGGCTCAAGGATTATTGTTAGCCCTTCGTCGAAGAACGCCGAACGCCGATAATTCGTCTAAAAAACAACCTACGACCCTTCCTTACCACCCACACAACCCTAGCCTTCTGGTCCAATTTGTCTTCGCAAAAATCTCCCCCTTCGCAAACAAAAAAAACCTAAGATAATCATTTTGCATATGTTAGATTTATTATTAGCCTATTTTTTGTCCAAAAAACGATGTACCTCTGTCATAGAAGCGTTAAATTACGAAAATCGTGTATGCTGTACAATATACCATCCGAAAAAAGAAAAGAAAATGAAACAAAAATAACAAACAAACAAAACAGAGAATTAAGAGGCAATTTATAGAATTAATTTTAATGATCAAAACTAACAAGAATAACGCTGCTCCTCCGTACAATCCATAGAATCGCTTTATGGTGTAATAATATTTAACGATAGGGTAACACACGATATCGAAACAAGACGAAAAAGAATAATAATAATAATAATAATAAAAAAAGAAAAAGATAACTTAGGAAAAAAGAGAAAAAAGAAAAGAACAAAAAAATAAAAAGATGGCTTCTCGTTCCGAAATGATTGGCAATATTCGATAGGATTCCATGGAATGTCGGAGAAACGCTCGTGTAGATAGGGTGTTTTCATGTGTAGACACGTAGAAACGTAGACGAATTAGATTTAGATCGCGAGTGGGTGTGTGGGTGATTGTCCATGTGAAATAGAAAAAAAGAGAAAGAGAGAGAGAGGGAGAGAGAAAGAGAGAATACATGAAAGTGTGTGTACGTGTGTATGTAGCAAGCAAGAAAGAAGGAAAAAGAGAGAGAGGGAGAGAAAGAGAAAGAGAGAGAATGCAACGTTGAAATCGAATCGAACGAATGTGATGTATACTTTTATCATGTGTGTGTGTATGTGTGTATGTCTCTCTCCGAGTCGTAGGAGAGTGGGCGTGATTTTTAAAAATGGTGGAAAGCCGATGATAACGATGACGGCGTTGATGATGATGATGATGATGATGATGATGATGAGGATGATGATGATGATGACGACGATGACAATGATAGATGCAATGGCGGCGAGGATGTCTGGCACTAGCGTAGACCGCGTTAGGTTAGGTAGATAAGCGACCCCTCTCACAGCAAGGCAGCAAGAAAAGTAAATTCACATAGAGAACACCCGTATGCATGCAAAGGAAGGAAAGAGACTCAAAGGTCAGGAAACAAGCGGCTGGCTGCAACGTGTATGCAATGGCTATGACTACGGACAGGTGGGAAGGAAGATAAAGAAAAAAAACCATAAAATTAAAAGAGAGTGAGGAAGCGAAAAAATGAAGATGGAAGAAGAAGAAAAAGAAGACAAAGAAGAAGAAGAAGAAGCAACAACAACAACAAACAAAAAATAAAGTAAAGGAATATGCGAGAGAAAGAGGGGACGCTGTTGTTGTTCTTGTTGTCGTGCGCTTGTATTAAAGTCGCCATGTTCTAATTAAACGTGCCGACGGGGTTGTATCAGTCGTCGGCAAAATCAATGTGAACAGTACAGTGTCCAAAGTTGTGTATATAGGTATGTGTATCTTTGTTTCTCTCTCTCTCTCTCTCTCTCTCTCTCTCTCTCTCTCTCTCTCATCTCTCTATCTCTCTCTCATTCTTTTCTTTTTACCATACCTGAAAGAGAAAAAGAGACAGAAGGAGAAAAGGCAAAGGAGCTGTAGAGAAAGAAAGAAAGAATGAGAAGGGAAGGTGGGTGAGGGAGATGATGAGAAAAAGAATAAAAAAAAAAAAAGAAAAAAAGAAGAAATAAAAGAAAGAACACGATAGGTCAGCCTTGGTTGTCGGCGGTTGGCGAATTGGTCGGGTTGCCATGGAGAAGAGCGAGGTATTCCTCCCTAGGTTCGGGACCGCCCCAACGGGAAACCTCCATTCGGGAAATTCGTGGCGTCGCCGAAGCTGCCACATTGCCGGAGGTTTAGCTCGGCTCGGCTAATCGATTCTGCTACCAATCAGCGCCCGCGCTCTTCCACCTTCTGCCATCCTCCTCCTCCTACACCTTCGCCTACTCCTCTTTCACCTCCACCTTCTTCATAACCTTCTACCTTCTACTCACTCTCTTTCCTTCACCATACCTTTCCTACCCTACTTCCTTTTCCTCCCATTAGCCCCCACCCTCACCATTTTTCTCAATCCAAGAACACACCGAAAACTTCTCTCTACTCGTCACCTTCTCGCAATTCCGTTGTGTTGTTACTTTGAACACCACCTACGTATCCTTCCAATACTCATTTTCCTTTCTATCTATTCCTACCCTTCCTATCATCTACAAGCTATCCTGTTTTGTCTACTCCTGCTTCCCTATTATTTTTTTCTTTCCTCTACCCCCCATTTACCAAACTCCTACCTGTATATTTACTTACTACCCCAACTCAAATTTTTATTTGTATTACCTACTACCATATAATAACTCTCTCTCTCTCTCTCTACTAACTTATAACCAATATCTCTATTCTTCCATTCGCCAAAATATAAACAAAAAAAGAAATTCTATTTTAGGAAGAAACAATCAAGATACACAAGCCATTGGTTTCCTCATTCTGACCACCTGAGGACAGTCGAGGAAATAAGTTTCTCTACGTTGACCATCCAATAACTCGACTAAAACAAATTACATTTGACTTTTTTTTTGTTTATTTGATTTTAATCTTAAAATCATTGCAAATTTCTTTTTAACTCCTCGAATATTCGTATATTTTGTTTCATTTTTATTGATTTCTTTTCCTATAGAAATATATTGATAATATTCGCCGAAAATAACACGTGTCGAGGACTGAAACGAGGATGCAAAACTACTCGAATGCTACCACGTGCATCAAGAGGACATCTATAAATGACCTTTCAGTTCTGTTTTTTTTTTTGGAAACTTTAAAATGGAAATGTGATTATATGTTAGTAGCATCGATCGGATGTTACGTTAAAATATAGTATTTCCATAAAATGTAATGCGCATTTGCAGATAGTAATTCTCGGCTGTTTTGAGAGATAAATAAATTCTGTTAAGCAATCGATCCACTTTAATCGAATTTCAATCACGTATATTTTTTTATTACCATTAGTAATTTAAGAAATTGATTAAAAAATAGATAAATAATGAATAATCTTGTTATTATAACCGATCGAACAGTAACTAGAATTTAATCTAATACGACACCGCCATATTTAAAAAAACTTGTTTAAAATACATAATTTCTGTAACGCTTATTAAATTCGAGCAGGCAAAATAAGCTGCAAATATTTTTTCTCTTTCTTTTACTTTCAGAAATCATAGTTATTAATAACGATCATTTGATTTATTATCTTTCCAATTAAAAAAATCACTTACTTTTATTCCCCACTTGGAGATTATTCGAATACTTCGTCTAACCTCGAAAGATATCCAGTTTCTTCGGTTTGCGTTCATTTTATAACACTTTATGGTTAAACTTTAATTCAATTACTTTTTTACATTAACAAGAAATATTATTATTCGTTTGATTTATTCTTACACTAAAAATATCCTTCGTAGTTTGAAAAAAATTCGAATGCAGAGGAGCTCGATGCTTTCCTTCCCGTTGCACGATCTCTTCTGCTTCCTTGAATCACGTGGTAATTGCTTAATTTTCGTAATATTAGCGGGAAAAAATACTAATGGTCGATCGATAAAATCGATATTAAGAAACTAGATTGTAATCCAATCACTATCTAATATCAAATCTTATAGGACTACGAGCGACCTCTCATTGTGCAGATCCTTGCATTCTAACAACCAATCACATTTTGGCGCCGTTTTTACATTATTCAAAGATCCAATTTCACAATGATAATTCCTTGATATTTTTTATAAATACAAAAAGAAAATGTATCTATTATATCATTAACTATTTTTCTTATATACGACATTACAAATATTTGGTAAGAAACTAGTCGTAGATAAAAACATGACTCATAGAGTGCGCAACGTTATAATTAAGATTATCTACGATCGGTAAAACAATTTTCATATGATAATTCAGTTTTATTATCTTGAGAATAATATCATATTTTTTTTATATTTATCTTCAAATTCCTATAATTAAACATTTTCATTAATATAATAAAACATTATTATGAGAATTTATGAATAAAAATATATTGTATGGTATGACGAATATATTATATTTTGTAGTTTATTAAAAAATGAAATGTTTAATTAATGAATAATAAATATTATAAATATATATATATATATACACACATAAGCATTAAGAGAGACAAAGATTACATTTTCTAGTTTTTATATGTGATAATGCGTGATATGGGCATGAAGTAATCGTCCAACACATACATTCACGTATGAGTACACTTAGCGACGAAATATCAAACACCACGTCGTATGTTTCTGAGCAATGTCTACCTGCAGACTCTAGTTATCGATACTTATTTCAAACGATTCGCTTCGTACGATAGAATTGTCAACTGTGACATAAAATCATTGAAAGAGTATACATTGTGATTATAATTCATTGAATCATCTAAAATGAGTACGAAACATTTGAGCACAGGTAAGTAGAAAATAAAATAGAATTAAAATAGATAGAAGAAAAGGCGTGTAATATATGATACAATTTTTTATAGGATCAATTTGTCCACCCATCGTTCCTGGAAAAATTCGTTTGTACAGCATGCGTTTTTGTCCATATGCCCAAAGAGTTCATCTCGTTTTAGATGCCAAAAAAATTCCGTACATATAATTTATTTAAAAAAATTAAATTAACACATTTTCGTCAATGATTACATAGTATTTTTTTGTTTTAATATATACGCATATATTATTTCTTACAGATACGACGTTGTTTATGTTAATTTAACCCAGAAACCGGAATGGCTGTTAGAGAAAAATCCTTGTGGAAAAGTTCCTTGTATAGAATTAAATGGAGGCGAAGTATTGCATGAAAGTCTTATAATAACTGAATATTTGGATGAAGCTTATCCACAAAATAAATTGTATCCACTGAATCCTTTAACCAAGGCTAAAGATAAATTGTTGATCGAAAAATTCAATGGAGTTATTACCAATATGTACAAGGTTTTTACAAAGTGGTTATTATTTTTATGTTTGATTATTTACTTTCACTGTTATATTCTTATATTTATTTGACATTATTCTTTAATATTTCTTTTAATTGATTTTTTTAATCGTAATCCTAAAATACTGCTATTAATTTTATTTAATTGTTGTTTTGTTTTTCTTACTTTGTATGAATTTTAATTTTATCGACATTCTTACAGTTATATGCTGGAACAACGGTAGACTGTGATATATTTAACGAAGCGCTTGCCAGTCTTGAATTTTTTGATAGAGAATTAGTTAAAAGAAGAACTCCATTCTTTGGAGGTTCTTCACCTGGCATGTTGGATCTGATGATCTGGCCATGGTGTGAAAGAGCTGATATTATTAGGATCTTGCGTGGAGATGAATTCACAATATCTCGAGAACGTTTTCTAAGACTGGTAAGCTAAAGGATTCTAGTTTCTTACGAAATATCTGTATATTGAAACTATATTTTATTTACACATATATATATTTTATTTCTACATAGTTCGAATGGAGGAGTGCTATGAAAGAAGATTCTGCGGTTAAAGGAAGTTATTTGGATGCTGAAATACATGCTAAATATACGCGTAGTCGACTTGCAGGAATGGCTCAATATGATTTGATTTAATTTTTTCCAAACAAATTCGCTATACTAAAAGTCTCGAAAATTGAACTCATAAGTTTCAATGATTAAACTATAATTATAACTAACTTAAAAAACAAAGTATAGAAATTTGTTCAATACTAAATCAAAGTATGATGTTGCATTTATATAATATATAAATAAAAGGTTACAACATATACAGCGCTTATAAGTGTATATCGATATAAGTGTATAGCAATATAAATGTATATCGATATTATGCAATTTCATATATAAATATATTATATATACATTATTATTAATATTATATATAAATACATTTGATCTGCTTTAATATTATTGATATTATTTATATGGAATGTATAAGTACA